TTCTTCCTTTGTTTCTTTTGTTGTGAAGCACTTTGGTCAGTCTGCGACTGTGTTAAATGTGCTATATAAATAAAGTAAACTTAAAAACTTCCTACGGCTCTCAACACTTTCTAGATCTACAAAAAAAAAAAAAAAAAAAAAAAAATTAAAAATGGAATGTTATCTGTTTTTATGTAGGCATGACAAAAATAGTCACACTCGTGGTCTTCGGGGTCCCTAACAATAACATTTAATTTTGTAACAGAACAATAGTTTTTTTTTTTTTTTTTAATTATAGAATATTAATGTTCAATAATGTTTTTACTCAACATTTGTGCAGTTTTTAGAGGATTTATGATATCTTTTAAATATCTATAAATAAATAAATAAACACATATTTATTTATCAGTAGACTCAAAATAGACACAATTCATCATCAAAATCAGAAATAACGCAGAACACAGACAGAAATGACAGAAATAAAGTGGCACACTTCCAACAATGCAAAAAACATCCACAATCCAAAATTATTATGCTCACACACAAACACACACACGAGGAATACAATATACAGGAATACATACAGACTATACAAACTGTTCTCTTATCATTTGTAAAATAAAATACTCTAAAATGCAGAACCACCACAAAAACAAATTGGTAACACTATAAGACGCATTGAAAATGTGCACAGTACACACACACACAGTCACACACACCCACACAGGAATACATTTGTAAGGCTATAAAAAAGATAAAAGAGATGAGACCAACTGTTCTATTGTTCCAAACTATTGTTCCTAGTTATTCGATTTTCTTCCCAATTTACTTTTTTTTACAAATATTATATTTTTACTGCTTTATTTGCTAATTTGTTATTGCTGTTCAGTTGAAATAAATGATCAAATCTTAAGACTCCAACATTTCTTTTTGTAACATGTTCTTCAGGTTGGATTCTAATCATAATGTAACATTATTGAAAAACTGTTGTTTTTTCAGAACAAAAACAAATGCTAAACTTTGACAAAAAGTATTTTTGTTTTAATTGTGATTTTATAATATTTAGATATGAATCCAACTGAATCCAACTTTAGAAACTATATATTTCAGTAATTCAATTAGTATTTAGGCCTAGTGGAGCTCTATAGCCATCTAGTGGTTAAACTGACTTATTACAAATTTTAACCTGTATTTTCAAAAAAAATAAATAAATAAATAAAATAAAATGGGCAAAAATCTTACATTCAACCTTGTAAAATTATCCATGGTATCCCCCAGGAATGAAAGTTAGAAATCTGGGTCATTTATAAAGTTTATTTAACACAAAATGCTGTTTTTTTTTTTTTGTAAAAATCCTATTTAAATATTTATTTATAGAAATAAAATAAAAATCATAAATCCTCCAAAAACTACACAAATGTTGAGTAAAAACATTAACAGAGTAAAATTATATTTGTTTAAAACATATATATATTATTCTGTTACAAAATTAAATGTTATTGTCTGGGGTCCAGTAGACCCCGAAGTCCACAAGTGTGACTTTTTTTATAGACCGTCAGAGAGCTAGACTCTTGTTACCGTATTACAGTGAAAACACGGAAAGCAAAAAATGGCGGGGTCTCATAATAATGACGGAAAAGTAAATGTTGGGGTAAAGAGTTGAGCTCTAGTGTGTAAGATAGATACAGGCTCTTCTGAGCTTTCCAAATATTAATAGTGTATTTATTTAACTTGCCTTTATCGATGCTTCGCTGCTTTCTTCAAGCTCTCGAATTTTCGCACCACCTCGACCTGGGCAAACAGACAGACATAGACAATCACACATCAGTGATGGAAGTCCAACCAACTTACCCGAATACGTCGCATTATTGAATAAATCGAATTTCTGATTCGTTTCAATCGATTCATTAAAATAACCTGATTGGAAAGCTAGAGAATCGGACATTTTGAAAAACTTAAACGTTAAACGTTCCTTAGACACCTGTGTCTTACCTATTATTCTTCCCACCAAAGAGTTATCCACATGCAGAGTTACCGCTGATGAACCTGATTTGTCTCTATTACCACGGGATCCGGTAGGTCCAGAACTGGAACAACTGTAATTGCCGGCTGCACCATCATAGTTATTCGATTCAAAGTCTCTGGTTCTCTGGTTTACCCACTGCTTGCCGTCCCCACCAAACTTCGCGCCGACACTCGTGGTTTCACGGCTCTGCGCGCCTCTTGAAGACGGAGGCCTCAATGACTTTACGGGCACGGTTTGAACGAGGGACGGCTTTGAAATCGCCGTACCATCCGCATCGTACTCATCTTCCCAGTCCGACATGTAAAACAAACATACAAGAACACCCAAGTTGGAATAAACGACGCTTTCCTACCGAAGGACCCAAAGACAGTCACACTGATCAGAATTCAGAAACCTCGATCAATATCCGCTCACGTGATCCCAAAATGGCAACCATGGCAACTGTACGGTAGTTACAGCTGTTGAAAAAAAAAACTTAATTAATATCGGATAACGAAAAAGCTTTAAATATTTCTGTCTATTTTGTTTATTTATTGACAGTGGCAAATAATAGCAAATGACCAGTTTTTTTATTATTATTTATTGTAACAGAGGTATTTTGGTGGACGACATAACTTATACTGTCTATTTTAAACGAATGTAATTATTTATAGAAATTAGAAAATACTCATACTAATTGATGCTGTACTGTACCTCCACTGACCACTTGGTGTTGACAGCCAATTGGCTAATAAAGGCCCAAGAACTATTCTATTAGTAAGACAAGGCACACAAGAGATAGAAACCAGGCCAAGTTTCAAGTCTTTTGTTTATTGAAGTATTACCATGATCATAAAATTTTTATTTTGGATTTTTCAATCACAGAGCATCAACTCTGTTATGTGCACAATGATGAAATAAATTATTCTGAATGACAGAACGCTAACATTATCAAGCATGTATATAAGGCCAGTTTCTGTGTAATAAATTATTTGATCTAGTGGTAAAACATTGAAATGCTGCTTTAACTGACAGACGCTTTAAGTTCACAGCCAAACAGAGAATGTGCAATTATCGAAATATTAACATAACCATTTCAATAAGAGTTTAAGGTATGAGTGCTGTTATGAAAACAGTTTTATAACTGTTTAATAAAATGCAAAAAAAGGCACCGTAAAACATTGAATTACAAATTAAAGAAAACTTTCAGAGAATCAATAACAATAGTAATATTAATTATAAAGCTAAGAAGACTAATATTTCTGTACAACCTTTGTCTGCATTTCAAGCATCAATTAGTTCCACAGCTGTTGACATTTTCTCAAGTGCCTATATTATTTACCTCAACTCTAGAGCAAAATAAGCATATCAACTACCAGGATTATAAATCTTATTTAAATCTTAATCATGTTAAATCAAAACAATTAATCACATTTGCAGGTTTCCTCATCACATCTGAACAGTTGTGCTTCCAATTGTACAGTGCCAAAAACATCCTCAATGTACACCTCAGATGCTTTTAACGAAAAGGAAAAACAAAACAAATTAACACAGCTAATCAGGATTATTTGACATACACATAACGATACAAGTTACATTCTCTAAGTTACAAGCATTTAAGCTAAAGCACTCATTTTACCATTCAGAATTATGAATATATATATATATATTAGGGCAGAGGTTACAAAGCTGAGGTTTATGTATAAGACGCCTGCTTGCTACAGAATTTTAGGTCTGGGGGAGGGATCTTTATGGGGGGTTAAATTGATGCAGGTTTCAAAGCAATACAAATAAACGTAAAATTTTATTACAATCATTGGTTGTGATATTGTGACTGATTTATTGTCTAGATGAAAAGGATGTATTATCTCCCTTTTTTATTTGACATTTTAGCAGCCAAATATCAACACAAGGACTCGGAATTAGAAAATTCAAATATTTTCAAAAATTCTGATTGCCACGAATATCTCCTCACAGGACTTTACTCCAAAACACACCATAACATCCTTCTAGTAACAGCATTCATCTTTCATCAGATGCTAAGACTCTCAGGTTTTAGAGGACATGGTTAAATTAAGAAAGATACAAAAGTGAAAATGCATTTGTTAACGGTTTAAGACCATCTGGTTTACTGCTATTCCTCCTATAATTCTTAACACATGCAAATGAGTGGGAAGTGAGAAATGCATCCTAATGCTGAGCGAGGACTAATTTCTACAGGTGCATTCACGCTTCAAACTCTATTTGCCTTTGCATTTTAAACATGCCGATCCCATGCAAGACTGAAAGAAGTACTCATTCAGTACCATAACTCTTCATAATTGTAAAATAATAGTATGGGTTACATACAAGTTAAGCTCAAACAACAGTGTTTATGGCATATTGTTGATGAACGCAAAAATCATTTCAACATCACAACTCATTCCTTCTTAAGTTGGCATGAAATAAAAATTCACCCTCTCTAAAAGCATATACAGTAGATTAGGGTGAGCCACAATGGAAGTGAATGGAGCCAATGTAAATGATGTAAGCTTCACATCAATCCCTTTGTAAAACATATATTATTTGATCTGTAAACCCCACATTCTATAATCGAACTCACACCCGTAAAATTGCATTTTCAGTGAAGCCATGCTGAATGATTGGTACTGTACTAGACAACTAATAGCCTACTTCATACGTATGTGTGTCATGTTGAAAGTGTTACAGTGAGGTTTTGGTAACCTAAAGGGATACTCCACTTTTTTTGGAGTCCCTCAGAGATAAACAGTTGAGTTTTACCGTTTTCGAATGTATTCAGCTGATTTTCTGATATTTAGAAGAATATAAGAAACCAGACAGTTTCTGGTCCCATTGACTTCCATAGTATATTTTTTCCCTACTATGGAAGTCAATGGGACCAGAAACTGTCTGGTTACTGATAGTTTTTTAAATATCAGAAAATCGGCTGAATGGTTTCGAAAACGGTAAAACTCAACTGTTTAACTCTGGGGGGGGAGGTTATAAAATGAGCCTATTTAAAAAAAAAAAAAAGTGGAGTATCCCTTTAAGAATCTTTAGTTTTAGATCCAGTCACTGTCTTACCGGAACTGCTCCTGTTAGTTTTGTGGTCTGTGCGCAAACTCAAATGCTCCATTTTCAGATATAAAAGTGAAGATTTGACAGATGAACTCATGCCTCAAATAATCTTCTTGTGTGAAATTGTGACTTTTATGACCATCGATGATATTGCTTTAGTCACAGTTGCTGTTGTTAATCTGCTGTGCAGATTTTGATTTTATTTTAAGCTGCTGTGTGAACACAACATTTCGAGACTCACACCTGGTGCAGTGGATTAGACACATGCCTTTGGTGTGAGAGACCCAGGTTCGAGTCCATTGTGAAACACCAATGTGTCCCTGAGCAAGAACTTACCCCCTAGTTGCTCTAGAGGCATGCAAATGTAAGTCGCTTTGGATAAAAGTGTCAGATAAATGTAAATGTAAATAATACTACTAAACAGAGTGAATGTGGTGATATTTTTCCACACTAACTTGTACTGTTTGTCATGGGGCTATACTAACCGTGAGTAGTATATTGATGTTTACCAATTAGCCCCATTCTCTTCCATTGTAAGTGCCTCACCGTAAGTATTATGCCACAAATGCTGTTGATTGAGTTTAACATATTTTAACCCAGAATATTTCATTAATGTTTCTTCCCCAACAGTTTCTCATTAATATAAATTCTCCCTTTTGACAAATTGTCCATGCAATGATATGTTTGTATGAACAAAAACGTATGAACATCATGTCTTTTTCTTGTGAAAATTAGAAAACATATAGAGCGCACAGGACGCTCCATTTCCTTTGGAAAAGAAGAACACGAGGGACATGAGGTTGTGTCCAGTCTCCACAGTGAGGTTCCTGCGCTCCGGGGTTTTTTCGAGTTATACGTGAGGCAAGTTTTGGGACTCGAGACTATCTCTTGATCCAGCCTGGCTGGGAGACGACCCACTGGCTCCTGTCCGTAGCAGCTCAGAAGAGAAGGTTGTATCGTTGCTTTGTTGGTCGAGGAGGTTGCAGCCGCCCTCCGGGGTGTCCAACTCTTTGTCATTGATGAACAGCTCTGTATCGCCCCAGTCAGCCAGCGGCTCCCGGTCGCTGGACTCATTGTTGCTGCTGCTGCTGCTCCGAGTGGACAGGCTGGGATGGCAGTCCGCAGCAGTCGGCAGCATGAGGTTCTGAGCGGAAAGAGACTTACCGAGCCCACGCTCAACCTGTAGCGAGGCTGCTGCTGTGGAAGACATGAGCTTTAGAGGATCAATGTCAAGGCTCAAGTGTCTTCTCCACGACCCATCTTCCTTGGAGTTGCGCTCGGGCTTGTCCCGTAGCTGTACCGTGCTTTGAGGACTCTCAGCTTCCCTGTCCGACTCAACATCAGTTTGGGTACTCACAAGGCAATTGCTCAGACTCTCTACCCGGCTCTCCAGTAGTGTCTCTGGGATAAGGCTGGTAGGCCGGCCTTGAGGTGTTGGTACCATAGGGGGGAGCTGAAGGGTCGTTGAGGTTGAATGGATTGTTGGCACCGGCCTGGTCAGCTCACTGAATCTCTGGTGACTTCTGGAAAGGTTGTTGGGGGTGAGAATGGGAGGAGGAGATACTGGGTAGAAACTGTCCGGGCTGGAGGGTTGGTTGTTGAGAAGAGGAGAGGTTGAGTAAGAGGAGGCTGAATGTGGGTAACCTGTACCCAAGTTGAGTTCACTAGGGGCCAGAGCAAGATGCAGACCACGGTGTAGGTTACTGCTGCCTGAATGAGACACACCGCTGCCGGTAAGCTGGGAGGATGACGACAAATCCTTGCTATGGATGGAGCTTTGGTAGTCGGAGGTCTGATCCAGCTCGAACAGTGGAAAAGCAGACAGACCAAGCATCGAAGATGAGCCTTTCTGCAACACCTGTCGGTATATATCCAGCAACGAGTCCAGCTTTGACTCAATGGACTGGACCTGTATTATAGACGAAATGAGAAATCACATAGAATCTTTCTAAATTTTATGCTTGACTATCATAAATGAGTGTAAGTTTGGGGTTTGTACAATTTTTGTTTGTTTGTTTTTGAAAGCAGTCTCTTATGTTCACCAAGGCTGCATTTGATTTAAAAATGATTGCGAAATATTATTACAAATTAAAATTACTTTAGTTAGTGTGTAATGTTGCTGTTAGAGCATAAATAATACCTGTAAAATTATAAAGCCGAAAGTTCAATGCCTACCGAGATATTTTATTTAACAGAAGTCCTCTTTCAAAGCATACAGCTCTACTTCCTTTTTTTAATGATGTAATTAGAACAGTTTTTGACTAATTTTTGACTAACTCCGCCCACAGGAATACACAAAAAGGGGGCGTGGTCTTGTTAAGCTCCCACAGAGAAGAGGAAGAGTATCTTCTATAGACCATTTCACAAGATGCAAACAACACTGGTCCAGAAGCACTTCCTGTTTCAGTTTTTTAACACTACATTAAAGCTGGGATAAAATACAACCAACAGAACATTTAAAACTGAATCAAAAAGTTAAACAAACATCTTTAAGATGTTTTTTTTTTTACATGTGAATTAAAGAAAACAGTTACAAACTGAAACAGGAAGTGCTTCTGGACCAGTGTTGTTTACATCTTGTGAAATGGTCTATTGTTGAAAACAATTGTGTTGCTTAATACATTGTGAAAAACATGATAAAAAAATTATTCAAGATTATTTGAATAAAAAGTTAAAAAGAAATTGTCCATAACATTATGTATAAATAACTTTACTGTCAGTTTTTATCAATGTAATGTATCCTTGCTGAATAAAAAGTAATAATTTCTCCCCCCCCCCAAAAAAAAAAAATAAAAAAAATAAAATAAAATAAAATCTTACAGACCCCAAAGTTTTAAACGTAGTGTATGTTTAATTAGACCAAGTAAATATGGCTTACTTGTCTCTCTACTTTACAGACTCGTCCAAGCATGCTCATGTCATGTTCCAGGGCCTCTCCTTCTGGGAGGATTTTCTCCCTGCCTTTCCTGTCTACCGAAATCTGACCTTTTCCAAGGATCTGATCCACCCTATGAGAAAAAAAAGGGATTTTGAGCATATGTGAGGATGTACCCTATTACACTTCTGTTCCTCAAGCTTGAGCATGGCACAGCAGGATAAGACTGGACGTTGGTTAGTGAAAAAAGTAGTTAGTGCATCATCATCTATTTTTTTCTATGTTACAAAGACAGTAAGAAAGATTTATATATTTTTTTTCTAAATGATATAACTAGTCAATTCAATTGAGAATTGGATTATTTCCATTTTAAATGTTAAGGATTGGCAGTATCTAATCTACCTATGGTTAAAATATTAAATTCAAAATGATACATACATAAACAACACTCCAGAGAAGCCCCTAGTGTGCAAGATTAATGTGTGAAATGTAGTTTATATTTTCAGGTGTATGATTATCCAAGTGTTTCCATGCAGAAAGCAGACTATGTACACTATTTATAATAATTTCTGGATTTAACATGTCAGTATTTGACTTTGTTTTTGTGTTGTTAGAAAAACAGTCTAATGCTTCCTGGGGCCTGTTTCAGAAAGGAGGTTAAGTGAAAACTCTGAGTATGTTAACCCTGAAATGAGGGAAACTCTGGGTTTTCCGTTTCAGAAAGGGAGGTAAGTTAAACCTGAGACAGCAGAGTAAGTCAAGCCCATTTCTGAAAGAGAGGTAACTTATACTCAGAGTCAGTTACCATGGTAACTTACTCCGTGAACCTAACCTGGTCGGGAGCAGGTTTTCTTCAGTAAACTCAGAGTTTCTTGCGGTCTCCTCCCCTTTTTTAAAGAGGAAGTGCTGTTAAACTCCAACAATAATACTAAAATGTATTTACACATTCTTTAAGGAATATATATTGTTTGTCAATGGTTTAATTGACTAAATCTGTTTTGTAGCACTTTTCCCAAAAAATAAAAGGATTTAAAACGTTTGCTAAACTTTTATTTGATTACCACCGTTTTTGATAATATATTTCTATTAAATCATTAAAAAAAAATAGGAATAAAAAACATTTAATAGAACTCACTTATTTTTCAAACATAATTTAATAAGTTATTAATGATAAAAAATAAGATGTTAATCTTATTCATAATCAATTATTGAAGTTAGTTGATATGTTTTATTGAACAAATGTTTAATTTATTTAACTGTCATTTTAACTGATGATAATAATAACCATAATTTAAGAATGCAGTTTATATATTTAATAATTGTTTAATACCATAAACCGTGATCTGAGATGTTTCTCAACTCTCCCCACATGGGGGAGTCCCCCACCCCACCCCCACAAGTTACTCAGCAACTTTTACTCATGTTTTAATTTAAATTAACTACTTTTTACTTGAGTGGATTTTTAGACTGGTATTTTTACTTTTACTTAGGTAAAATTTTATCAAAGTAATAGTAGCCTACTTTAGGTTGAATAACATTCTTCCAGTTTCACCTCTATATTATAACAGTAAGTTACTCTAAAATAGTTATGAATTATTAACTGACATCTTCAACGGTGTAGTTAGATTAATGTAATAATCAGGCTACTATCTCTAGAAAGTATTGGTCTACATATTAGTAATTGCTAAATCTCAACCTCAACCACTTGATTAATACAAAGAGGAGAGACAAGAAATTGCACTTTTAATTCTTTCAAATTCACAATATACAATTGCATGAATTATTCTTGAATTCATCAAAGTGTGTAGAGGGAGAAGGTTACATAAAAAATATACCTTTTAAAAATGTATGTTAAATCCACTATTGTTTTATACTTAATTGGTTTATGTAGTAGCCTATTTAATGTAATTGCATCATATTTTATTTTAAATTACAGAAGAATTAAGAGTAATCCCTTTAATTAAATTACAATATTTAGATTACTTGGTAATTAATAACACCAAACACCTCTTTTTGTCTGGCGCTGTTGCCATGGTGACTCATAATATCTGTGCTCCATTGATAATGGCTTTTTATAGTTGTGGTGCAAGCGCTTAACTCAGAGTCAGTCAACTCAGAGTTGATTGAACTAACTCATTTCAGCTGTTCTGTAACCGAAAACTCAGAGTTTCCCATCTCAGGGTAAGTCAACTCTGAGTTCAAGCTTTAACTCAGAGTTGGTTGAACCTCCTTATTGAAACGGGCCCCAGATCTCTGCAAATATATCATGCAAGAGTAGTTTGAGTAAAACCAACATCAATCAGCTGAACCAATTGTGTGCAACATAATCATCTCCTTGATTGTAAACATATCACTATTTATTAATCACCTTGAGTCCAATGACGAAGTTTATGTTTAATACAGAGAAAAGTGAAGAGGTTTGTAATCCCCATATATCAATGGTTCTCAAACAGGGGGCTGGGGCCCACTAAAGGGTTTCAGCAAACTTCCAAGGGTGCCTTAAGATAGAGGTCAGCGCGGGACTATTTTTTTTGTCCCGCTCCCACCAGATTCTACTCCGCACGCACCCGGTCCCGCTTAAAATTCACTCTGTGTTTACCAGCTATCCTAACCCGACCGATGCGGCTAAATTTATATCTCTTTTCCAGAATCTCACTTTTAAATTTCCCCTACTGAATGAAAGAGATTTGGTATAACAATGGGCAGCAGAGGGTCATTGGTTCATGTAGGTTGAACCAATGGGCAGCAGTGGCTCAGTGGTTCGTGTTGTCTACAGACCAGAAGGTTGGTGGTTCAATCCCCGGTTCCACCTGACCAAGTGTCGAGGTGTTGGTGCCATACTTGGCTGACACGTATGGATGAGTGGCAATATGTAAAGCGCTTTGGTGGCCATTGGGTCTGTAAAAGCGCTATATAAATTTCAGTCCATTTACCATAACAAATATAAAATGTAGGTTATACAAAAATGATGTATACTAGGCTTTTTGTTATTTTTATTCATCTTGTCAAAATACAAAATTCTTTTAACATTTTACTGTCAAGACAGTAGAAAAAATTATTTGCCTGGTTGCTCAGTGCAGAATTTGAAAAAAATAAATAAATAAATAAAATGAGAACCTCTGCCATTAGATTCATTGTGGACACTGATTTTGTTTACTAGGGGAATAGATGAGTAGGTATTTTAAGTTCTAATAACATATGGTAATAAACCCTTTGGATACTTTTAGTTAAATACATCATCATTGGACCCAATGTACAGTATGAACTGATTGAGATATGCATAGCCCAATGACTAGTCCCCAAGCCTTCTACAGGCCTCTGACCCAGCATGCTTCTTCTTGCTTTGGCTGTAATACAATTGTAGAGAGGGAGAGGAAAGGTTCCTGGCTTTGGTGCTGAGTGTCTGATGTGGACCCACGGCTGTGGCAAGTCTAGATGAGAAAACAATACGGGGGTCAAGTACATCTTTAAGTTTGTGCCATCAAGGAAACGAAGGAAAGGAGGAGAGAGAAGGTCAATGAGAAGGAGCATATGGCACCAAGGCAAGATACTACTGATCTCAGATACATGCAGATCACATCTCAGAAACATATGCCAATCAAACCAAAGGTCTCAGTAATCTAGTTGTTAACCTCAGTCAATCACTGAGGTTTCAACAATTGAAGCCTAAATGTCAGTTAGAGATTGGTGGTTGATTAGACACCTGTTGGTTCACAATATGAAAGAATGACAAAATTGTATTGTGCTACTCTTTGATTAGCAGCTCATTCCATGCCGGACGAAATGTTTTACAAACTGCACAAAAACTAAGCTTTAAGATACAAATCCAGATGCTAGGGAAAGCCAGGAGAAATCAATCTAAAAGTTAGTCCGATACACAGGCACATTTGTTCTAACACCATGCAGTTATGCTGGTTTAGCATTGGCCAACCTTGTTAAAACAGGAGAGAGTTCTGCATGATGAAAAACAGAGGAATCAAGGATTTGTAGGACAGAGCAAACAGCTTGAGGCTTTGGGTCCGTGACGCATCACAAATCCAATGTGCTAAAAGCGCTTGGCCGCAAAAATATATATGGTATGTATATATATTATATATTCAAATAAATGTGTTCTACATGTGTTGATACATTTTAAAGTACATACAAGAATAAGTTAAATATTTTTTCCTGTGATGTGTGTTCAGTTTATATGACCCTAAATTTTTCTTATTCACTTTTTGTCTTTTGCATTAAACATCTTTAAATAATATTGCATAACGATATGTTTTCAGACTATATATATTGAATTTTCGTTTGTTATAAGCATAAATGTAACAAAATATAGACATCAACAAGCAAAAACTATTTGCCAATGAGCTAATAAACTTGATTTAAGATGTATTCTCTGAAAACAAGTCTTATTATATATTGCGAAATGTATGTTGATTTAAGGATGTATTGTTTTTATATAGCGTTTATCTTTGTGATGTTCATGTCCAGAAGGTAATGGTCACTAAGGATTTAGACACACAGCCTCAGCAAATGACTCATGTCTGAATGTTTCAGAGTTACAAATGGGTTTAGGATGGGGAATTGTGGGTCGGCTGACCCTGGGGCAGAGTGTTTCCTCTTGGCCTGACTGTAATACAAGTGCAGGGAAGGAGAAGAAAAGGTCTTGGCTTTGGTTCTCAAGGTCTGTGGACCCACAATGGTGTCTAACCTGAATGGGAGAGCGCAGACAGGGAGATAAGACAGACACAGATATGTAGAAAGTATGCATAACAAAGTTGTTTTAACTATTTTCTGTACGGTGCAGCTCAATAATAGCTTTCTTTGAATATGTCTTTGTACTTACTACATTTGTTAATGTGTATTGTGCAAGTGAGAAATTTATGCAATAAATAAAAAAAATTAAAAAAGTGTTACATTAATGTTATGAATGAATTTATAACTTTCAGTCACATGTTGTAGTTGAACATATTTTTTGATATACAAAAAGGGCTGGTTTGTCTCACCTAGTCTGGAGACTCTTGATACGGCATAGCATATCCAGATGGCCAGCAGAGTATTGCTCAATCACATCTTTCACATCATACGGTCGCAGCGTCTCTTTAAACTTCTTCTTGGCCACATGGAATTTCATTATCCTGAAACAAGAAACAAAACTCAATTCACTTTTAAGGACAAATAAGGACAAAAATTATGCAATATTTTTTCTGTTGCCCCCATATTTTCTGTTACATGATATTTTTTTTAATTATATTTTTAAAATAGTTCTAAATAAATAATAATAAATAAAGACTTCAGTAATTTTTTTTTTTGGTAGCTTTATACTTATTTAAAGAATAAAGCAAAAAGGTGTGTAAAATTAACTTTAAAAATCAACTTTGTTCCAATTATGTATGCAGTTACTGTACATCTATAAACCATACAGTATATTGCGCATATGTGAAGTCAGCTCAACATAAAACAAACCTCTTCGCAAATAAAAAAGCCTGCGGGTTGTGTAAACTTGCTCATAACCACTAGAGGGCAGAAATCAGTCACGAATATCAGAGCAGTTTATGACCCAAAGAAAAATATAATCAGATATACCTCTGCTTTAAAAACACAGTTAATAATAATATTACTCAAGTAAGGCTCATGTTCGAGTAAAGCAATGTGTGATAGATGACATTAGCTGTGTAAACACGGGTATTACCACAAGCACACAGAAACCCAAACCTATTCTATGCGTGACATTCTTCTGAGTGAACATGGAACTGCAAATATTGACACAAAGGGGAACAAATCTCAGTGATCCGTCTCTGTAACGTCTTACAATTTCAAGCCCCTGTCAGTTTTTCTTAATGTCAGATGAGCTGATGTGTAAGCAGAACTGACTGTGAGCATGTCTATCTGACACCCTGGGAAAGAGGAGTTGGAAAAATCTCAGCCCTCCTGGGATACCCTAATAGTAAAGGGTGATGGAAGTGAAAGAAGAAGTCACCTAAAGCAACATCTGTGGCCTCAACCAGCAGGAGAGAGACAGCAGCCATGGTCTAAACCTAATGTCTCCATCAACAGGGCAGGGAGGTCAAAATGAGTGTGTTTAACTCTGCAACCACAGTGGTAATCCTTCAAACTGTCTTTAGGGGAGAACAAAGCACTCTGGGAAGTCAAACTAACCTGACGGCCCTTATGACGGCCTTTAGTGGGGCAGACAGATCTTCCACAGTCACATCACAATGGCAACCCTTCTCATCAAAAGCATCATCCGGTCCAAGATTAGTGTCAGCTAAGTATTTGAGAAAAAGGGAAAGGATAAGAATCAGATCAAGAAGCAAATCCTCTAAAAGGCTGAACACAAAACCTCAAAAGTAGAGAAAGCTATGGGCAGATCAATAAAGCGATGAATCAAAATAGCATTCAAATCAAATCTTTCCCTTGACCGACACACACAGACCACAGGCCACCCCACTCTCCACAGAGCTGTATAGCAAAAAATGGGATAGAAGTATTGAAGTAAGCATTAAGCTGAAAGGCAAAAATTATTAGGGATGCACTAATGGGATTTTTAGCCGATACTGATCACAATTATAACAAACTATACTGACCGATTCCGATATAACTTTTGTAATTAAAATAGATTACTGTTTTGACCTTCTTTTAAATAAAGTAAAAAAAAAAATGCATCTATTAAAGTACATTAGCTAGTTTATTGCTGCATCATAAAATCATCTTTATTGAACATGGTTTGATTCCATTGAAAAAACAGACAGCAGGTTGCTGTCACTTTATGAGTTGCATGGATCCAGTATACTGATACATACAGATGTGTGTTCATTGACTTTTAATAATTGTTTATGTTCACTTAAGCCACAACTAACTTTGTTTACTTGGATACTCACCAAGATGGGCATTTTGATACAATGTTGTGTGAATTTTACCTAAAGTGACAGTTCCGACAGTTGTCCCGAGTGTTGTTCCCACAGTCCGTATTGCCGAGCCCTGTTATATTTTGTATAGTTATAATTTTGTTTTGGAAACTATTTAATTACTTTATCCAGAGAAAAAAAACCTTTAGATTATGAAACAGACATGATACATCTCAGTGCCTTCACGCAGTTAATCAAAACTATCAGTATTAGCCTTTTGCATGCTATAGCCGATGGTTTTAAATGTATCTATATATTGATATATAAATCAATTACTACTCAGATATTTTCTTTTTTGTATCTTAAATCCACTGAAAGTCAAGTCACTTTAGATAAAAGCATTTGCCAAAATGTGTAAAACAAAAACAAAAGGAAACAGATCACAGACCAGATTGCTATCAAGATGTGAAGAATTGCTTTCCCCTTTGCTCCCCTGTCTTATTATAAGCTATAATATGTGGCGGATATATAATGCGTGTATAAGAGTATTAAGCCAGTGTGTGGTAACTGCAGGTTTGAGATTTATTTTGGCTTGATGGGTCTCACACAGGGCTGAAACTAGTTTGCAGCAGACACTCAGATGCTACCTTTGCAAATTCTGCTGAATTGGGCTATTTGTGAAAATGACAGGCTTGACTTTCTCAGAGATGTTTTCCAGTAGAAATACACATAAGATATATTTACTTGAGAAGCAAAATGACTGAAGATATAAAGTGCTTTCTGAAAAATGTATTAAAATTAAAAATCTTTTTTTTCTTGTTTTAAGCATAAACTCTCAATTTCATTCATTTAAAATGTTTCCTTTTTCAATATAATATGGAAAGATTTGTTTCCACTTCCGTTTCAACGCGACTTTCATGCCGTCACCTTGGACACATAACTTACCATATAAAACAGATCTACAGTTTTAATTGCTGTGATGTGGGCAACATGGATCTGTTGTTTAACATCATTGTTCAACATTTGTTTTCACATGCAAATTCACTATTATTGACAAGGCCAATGGACAGAAAATTTGTATTGCAATATGTTGAGTTGTTGGTTTTAAAAGTTTTACTTAGTATTAAACAGATAACTAAACATTCTCACTGTTTTCTTCTCCCATGGAACCATGGGTTCTCTGCCCTTTGTGACAGACGTACAGTATTCTGTAAATACTGAATACCCTCCTATAAACAATGTCTATATCTCTGCTTTGCTCTTTTCTTCCCTGAGGGGCATTATGGTGATAACTAGTGCAAACAGAGGGTCCCATGAGAGACCATGTTCTCCCACTGCAGCCCAATAGTGTGTGTAAATCCTGCCTTCAGGGATAAATCCAGAAAAACACCAATAACAATATAGAAAAAAAAGACTATCAGTTAACAGGCAAAAAAAAAAAAAAAACTTGTTTTTTTGTTAAGTAAAAAAACTCCAGGAATGATTATCAGCTAGTAAGAACTTATACAAATCTGCTTCTGTAATTACAGAAAAAAAAGGAAAATCAGTGATTTGACCAATCCAAAAAAGCCTTTCACCTTCAGTGGTTGTGCGAGACTGGCTCTTGAGTCTGAGTGATGGACGGAAGCGTGTTCGGTCATTGAAGCTCCAGCTCTTCTGGACCTTTGCAGGGCTGCTGCCCTCCACACCCACCTCTGTCCCAGGAGAGCGTCTGTCGTTCACTGACATCTGTCTGCTCTTTACGCTCTGACCACGAGGACTGGCCATCCGCACACGCTCACGAAAACTTAACTTTTGGCTGCAGGAGAGGAAAGAGGAGGGATGGAAGAGGCCGGGAAGTGGGAAGGGACAAATAAACAGAAAAATAATTAAACATGGAATGAAGAGAAAGAGGTATTCAACTAAAGTTTGGTTAAATCAAAACAGCAGGGATGGTTTATTTTGGACTTGCAAGCTTCCTTTCCTCAGTTTTTACCAGATTCATCCAGTAAAACAGTACTTTTTTTGTCATGACTTAGATCTTACTTGGATTTTCTTTGCCGAAGCCCCACAAACTGTATTATACTTAAATTGCGTCAAAAGAACATCATGCAATACAAATCCCATTCCAAGGTTTGCACCAATCAGCAAGCAACGTTTTGAAGCATGACTCTCTGTCCACCCTAGTTCTGTTGCTACCTTCAATGTGGAGCAGCCTGACAACATCTCCATAAGCCGCCTCGCTAGGCCTGACGTAGAGGCCCAGAGAGGCATGTCATAATAAACAGTTTATGTGCAAAGCAACTATATACATATTTCATCAAAGACAACAACTCCATAAGCTGGGGTTCTTAAATCATGCTGGATATATACAGAGTACACTGTGCTTTTTAGCTCATGCTTAGTAGTTTGTGTGTGAAAGAGATGTAGTGTAAAGGAGAGTGGAGACATAATGCTGTAAAGATGATTTAATAATATAGAGCCAAAGTTCATGCATTTGCAACATGCAAGTTTATGGCTAATGTGTTTAATAGGTGGGATGCAAACTGAGACATACAGTACAGTCATGGATATCCTTCATAACTGAACTGAACCTTTAAAAGGATTTGATTCAATCATTATTCCTGCATAGATTACAGTATGGGATTCTCGTACTGTAGTTTAAAGGTAAAACATTATTTTCCTACATGGATGTTACATTTATCTGTAAAATGTATATTGTAGAGTAATTGCTGCATGTCAGATAGGGGGTGTTGGATAAATCAGTCAGTGGCAGTTAAATCCTTCAGGCAACAGGCACAGGACCCTCATGTTAAACTCTCTGTAGGGTCTGTAAGGGTTGGGGTTATCTGAGGTGGCCCTCATCATCCATGCATTAGGTTAGTCAGCATTCACATTGGTCATATTCCTGGAGCAGTGGGGGATGCTGGGTACCTATATATCCGTGTGGTATACCTCCTGAAGAGCCTCTGTCTATTACTATGACCCTTACTATGGAAATGAGGGAGACAGATGGTAGATGAGTTAGTTAGACTGTGAGCAGAAACATCTTCCTTAAGTGGAAGAATTATATGGATAGTGCAACACAGAAACAGAGCCACTGCTTGGTGGTAAATATGGAGCAAAGTGCAAAATAAATTGGGTGTGTTTTTGCAACCAAACATGGTAATAAAAAGTTGAATTAGTTTTGAATTACTTTAGAAGTGCAGCAAACCACACACACTCACAAACACACCCAGACTAGAAGTATATTCACATAAACAGTGTACAAAACCTGTCTAACAAGCAACTGACTTTGACAAACGTTTTTGGATTTGTTGGTTAATTATACATTTTCTTTCTGTAAATATTTAATTCTTTTCACTCTACAAATGGATTATGTGGATTGAGGATTAAACCTAATGTTTCCTCAAAGACTTCATGTTCGTCCAACACAAGCTATGAAAAAAGTATTCACAGCTTAGCTGCTTGCTGTAATGCCTTTGCAATTGGAAGGTTCATTTTCCGTCATATTTAATGACACATTTGCCACACACTGTGAGGTTTTCCAACTGTAAACGACTTCATTTAAGTCTGAGCTCTGGTGCACTGCTCTTCACATATCTAATATGAACCATGCAAACATCCAATTCCAGCACTAATTGAAAGTGTGAGGATACAAATAAGGGAAAGTCTTTGGGTGCAACCATTATTTACAAGCACTGAGCAATAAGCTCCACTCCTAATGGGATTTATGAAAATTAAAAGACAAAACATCATCAGCCTGACTAAAAACATCTGACTATGGCCTTGCAGATATGACGGCCTTTAATGCATATAAACAACAGAGTAAAAACAGAACTCAATGCATGCATGCAGTATCTTTGCATATTTACTGACAGCAGTAATATTTATTGGTCAATATAAACAATATCTAAGTGGTAACAAGTGCATCATATTGTCCATGCATTCAGACAGAGAAAAGTAGGTAGAAAGAGATCTGCATGTGCACAGTACGCGCACACACATTCATTTTAGTACAGATGGACACCGTTGTGTCTATTCACAGTGTCTTGTACACTCACGCAAGGCTCTTCTTTGAAAGTTAGCAAAGAGAAGCTGCTCCACATGTAAACTATGACTTTCTGGAACACCTGATTCTGACTAGACAATTGCTGCTAATTCTGTGGTGAAACTAAACCATGGAACTATATGTGTATGTTGTCAGTTGTCCAAAACAACATACAGTACTGGTGCTGCTTTCATGTTTCACCCATCACTTACTTTCCCCTTTCTGGTAGAATATTTATATATAATATTAATACATTTATATAAACCAAAATATTGGTCAACTCACTAAAACAATTATATGTTATTATTAATAATATATGTATTTATAATATCTGGATTCAATTATACTTCTGTTCAAAAGACTGAACTCCATGGGGTAATTTATATTTTTGCAACAAAGGTTGCATTTATTTGCTCAAAAATACAGATAAAACAGTAATATTGCAAAATATTATTACAATTTAAGATAACATTTTTCTATTTTAAAATGATATTTACTGTGATAGCAAAGCTGAATTTACAGCATCATTATTCCAGTCTTTAGTGTCACACGATCCTTCAGAAATCATTCCAATATGCTGTTTTGGTGCCTTATTAATATTCTATTATCATCACAGTTGAAAATGCATAATTACTGAATAGAAGTATTAATTTCTTTTTATTTTATTTTTTTAACTCACCAACCATTTAAGCTATAATGTAAAAGTAAGACATAAATGTCCATGAATGATAAGTGAGACAAGCTTTACACTGGGATCCTGATCATCCTGTCTTTGTTTTTTGATAATGAGTGGACTGTACATACCATATATACTATAGCTACTATTTCAAATAAAGAAAAAGCAGAGGGAATGAATGATAAAGCATGTAACATGCCATGACTGAATGGACTTAATTCTTCTCCCTATTCCTATTGAAGCCATGGAAGCTAAAACACAATCGAATCTCAAGAAAGTATCACATTTCGGACACTATAGGGTGATGTAGATACGAGAACAACAAACCTGCTGATGGATTCCCCCTGGTCTTTCCTTCAGGTGTTAGTTAAAAAACAGAGAGAAAAGAGACAGGATATTAACACTTCACATGAATGACAGAAACTAATAAGGAGACTACAGAAGAGACACAGATGCCTCTGAAATATACTGAGTGATTCATTTCGGGAATGACACACCAATATATTTCACACTGTGTCACACAAAAATACAGTTCAAATGTTAAAAAAGGAAATTTAACATAAGTAAGCCTCAGCACACACACACACAGTAGAAAGAAATGGAGAGTCTTTTTAAGACAGTATAAACAGGCAGCAAACAAGCTGGCATGCAAGCTATGAGCAATGCACAGTCAAGCTGACTAAGACGAGCGCTAGCAGAGGGACAGCTGTGTTATCAAGGGCTGTTTAGTATGTAATTAATCAAGAAATTGGCCTTAATACAACAGAACACCCATTTGTCAGAGCTTTGTCGTGTGTCTGTCTTCAGGTGTCTGTCCACAAACTGTTTTGGCTTCTGTGTGATGTGATTTATCTATTCTTGGCAACGAAATTTCAGTTAGCCACAGGATCTACACAAGGAAGCAGGTGTGAGTCTGTGGCTCTCATCCAAACTGAAGGCTTGAAGACTTGTGTTCAGAGTAAAAAACTGAATCTATGGCTGTGAGGTACTTTAGTGATTGCGCTTCATTAAGATTTTTTTGGGGGTTATTTGACAAAAACTGACAAACTTGATTTGAGTGTTCAATGATTATATACCTTCTATAAACAACACTATTCCAATGTAAAAGAACTATAAAATCATCCGATTCTGAAATTTAACTTTAAACATTTCAAGTAATGTAATGAACATTTGACCATGTAGAATAGTTGAGTTTTTATTAATGAAAACCAAATATATATATGTAATTTCAGCAATCTATGGAAACACCATGGAATAAAATAGCATCTAAATTAACATCTCACTATTCAAAACTGCAAGTTTCTGATGTCATATACTGCAATTAACTCTTACATATAAACTCAGAATTCTGATAAATAAGCCTGAATTGCGAGATAACTCCAATTTGAGAGATCTAAACACATGAAGTGAGAAATAAAGTCAGAATTGTGTTATAATTCAATTCAAATCACAAGATATAAGCTTAAATAAAGAATTTTGAGATTGAAAACACAATTACCTATTATTTTTTTGCATTCAGTGGCAGAAACTGCTTCAATAGCGATACATTTCAGAAGTTTATTTTCCACTTTGAAATATCAAGTTTTGACATGGTTACACTCTAAAAATGCTGGGTTGTTTTAAGCCAACTTTGGGTCAAATATGGACAAACCCAAACATTGGGTTAAAAATGTAATAAAAATGGCTGGGTTTGTCCACATTTGACCCAAACAACCCAGCAATTTTTAGAGTGTAACTTGGTATAATTTCTATGTATTTTTGACACCTGGCCATGTTCCTTTGCTCAGTGACTAAATGAGTCTTTAAAAAAGCAAGACTATGGTAGGGTACACAGGAGATATTTATGCTTAGGAAGAGAGACAGATTGAGTGAAAACAGTTTATTTGCTGAGGGAAGTGGGGAAACGAGAGCTACAGAAGCACTGACACCAAATACGACACCAGCTGCCAGAGTTGTACCTACTTTGTAGGGCTGCAGGTATGCAACGCCTTCAAATGAGGCTTCCAGGTAGCAATGGAAACCGAGTTCTCATCAGCCGCATAGCTACGCCACACACACTACGTGCAGAATATACAAAACCAGAAAAATAGGGAGGGAAATGAAGAGAGAAGAAAATAAAAAGATAAATACACAAGGCCAGGAAAAAGCAAGGATTGGGAAAAAAAGGAGAACAACAAAAGGAAAAAAAAAAGATTAGTAACAACCGGTTCATGTAAGTGCTCTTCCATCAGTTCACTGCATAGATACATGCCTTTGAGGAGGGAGAACACTTTTATAGAACAGCCAAGTGGCACTCAGGTATGTTCTGGAGAGGTCTGTGGAGTAGAGACGCCACGCAGCCTGGTGCAGGAGACAGACACACACACACACACACACACACGGGTACACGGGTGGAGAAAGACAATAGCATGGTGAGGGAACAGCCAGAAAATCACTGATTGGGCTCAAGACATTTCTTCAAACCACTGATTTCCTTTTGTTAAAAATGATGCAAAATTTTCTTATGTATTTTGGGGTCCAAATGTCTGAAATCACGAGTATAAAATACTTTATAAAAAATAAAGTTGAATTACACTATTTAAATGAATTCATTATTTTGTTAGTATTTGGTAAGTCTCTCTTTTGCTTTAATAACAGGAGCACTTGAGCTGCATGAACTTCACTATTTTATGTAAAACCTGATAATCATATTCCACAGAATTATTTGAGAATGATCCAAAGAGCATCTTGAGCTTCAATGGATCATAATCTCACTAATTTGATAAATATTTCTTATTCATTTTGTCATAATTTTCTGAAATACTAAAACTTATTTCCAAGATTACTTTGAAATCCAGATTTTGGACAAATAAATTGCTAATGTAAATTTCACATGTTCCATGTCCAAAATGAGAGTGGATTAGTGTTGAATAAATGTCTTGATGTTTTGGTGGCACATACAACATCAAAACAGCCAGGGGACTTACGTAAAAGTGATGTGGTGAATGAAAAGAGGCATACATTATCCAGTGAAAAGAGTTTATATGCAAATATGTGTTTATAAAGCACAATATATGTGTATTTAAAGTGAATATTTTTTTACCTAAACAAGTGCAAACCTTTGTTTGTGGCCTCATAGGTGATGTTTATGTGTGGCCATCTGGCATTAAAATATACTCAGCAGCAGTATTTCAATCAACAGAATTATATAATATTTATTATCACTATTTTGATAAAATTTCAATTCGACATAATACCCTGCTTGCATTTAATTTCTTCTGAATTTGTGATATATATAAGTGAACTGGAAAAAAAATGTGGGTGCAATTTATTTATTGGAAATTATAATGATTATTAGAGTTGAATGTGAATTTAAGAAAACAATACATACATTGATATTTGACTACATTGTCCAATCATGACCTAATGGAAAGTGGTTGTTAGGGAAGAAGTCATTTTACATTGAAAATTACAAAGACAAAAAAAAAAAATGTGAATGTGAATGTGAACTGGTGAATCCATCATTCACAATAAAACCAGGAATATGCTTTACGGAAGTTACTGTTTCATGCTGACTCTGATGGATAGAGTTGTATGTGTTAAGATGAGTAACTGCTTTTAAAAACAATAAGCAAGAAACAGAAGACGTGTTGTGAAAAAGAAAAATATCACAAGAGTGTGAAAGCCTGAAGAAGGTGAGGAGAGAGGGGATATTTTCCATCATTTTGTGCAAAAATGTCAGTAAAGAGAAAACAGCAATCGTAACATGCAGGAAAGAATCCGAACCCAGACATAGCTGACAGTCATACTCCACAGATCATAATTAAGATATATATTCCTGGGTTATATAAAGACCTGAAGTGATTTAAGAGAGGGTGAGAGAGCACAAATGATGAGAAATGATGCACCGATGCAGTCTCTGCAACATTACACCCTAAAGAACACACCATGGTCAAAATACACAATTACTGACAACAGTAATTGAAGCTGGATGGTTGGATGCCAACTGAAAGGCCTTTGGAAAAAGAAAAGAAAATTAAAGTCAGGGTTAAAGACAGAGTAGGAAGAGAGACAAAATAAACATAAGGATCAGTGTATATACAGTATGAGATCTTCTCTGTCTGCAATATCAGAAAACAATCTGGAGGAAAAAAAAGGGGTCATGGTGGTTAAAATAGTTGAGAAATTGCTTGTGGGTTTTCAACAGCAGCCAAAAGGAAGTAACTCATTTCTATAATATTACAGGACCTTCATTTTTTTGTAGATATGTGTGTGTGTGCACATTTTCCTGAAGTAAATCTGTTTCTCCTGCTAGAGGAGAAGGATGCACCTTCCATTAGGAAGAGCTATTGTCCTCAGGGAGGCCCTTGGTCTAAATTCCTTCCATGGAAACACATCATAAATATTGACAAGTGTTTCCTTTGGCTCTGATGAAAGATAATAGTCCACATGTAATCAATGCTCATGTAATTGTTCATTTTCTCTTCTTTTGTTTAAAAAAAATTAACATGGTTCACTACAAAAACAATCCATATTAATCAGTATGTCTTGCTGTCTGGTAAAATATCTAAGCATCCCTCGAATAATATATACAGTAACATACGTAAATCTGCATAAGATCTGCAGATAGTAAATATATTTTTAAATATTATTATTATTTGTTGTTTAGATGTTTAAACTGGAAAAAAAGGAAAAATAAAACTGAAGAAAAGTTATTTTTTTGTGAATTATTCATTTCAAACTGTCACATTTAACAATTTGTCTTCCATATGTTCCTTTATCAAATTTGCACGCATGAAATGATATTAACATATAAATATTGACTGTGTGCAGTGTATGAGTACATTGCAGTGGAACCGACCTTTGAGCCTCAGAAACAAGATCATACATACAGAAGAAATTTTAGAGTTGAGCATTAGCTATTTATGCTAATGAAGCAGCATGTGATGAGTTACTTCCAATTAGAATATCTGACTGATCAATTGTTTCAAATGAGGTGAGCTTACCTGTATGAGACTGGCTGCTGGGTTTCTCCTCTTTTCAAAGTGCTTCTGTCTGTGCTGCTCTTGGACCTTCAGAGCAAAGCCAGAGCCAAGAATACCCTACACCCACATCCACCCACAGAAAGAAAACAAACGTCACCTATTACTAAGGTTCAATCCGCTGATTTGGACTAAGAGAGACTGCGAGTGTGCAGCACGAATTTGTGAGCAGAGAATTACAGAACAATTGACGAGAGTGAGTCAGACAGGCCGCTGAGGGGCTTTACAGGCACACACACTGTGCGTTCTCAAACACATCATAAAAATCATCACAGTACAACAGTCTGCCTGGGCTCACAAAAATGCTATAAGTGATTTCAAGTTTTCTCCAAAAAGACCACAAATCCCCTATCGCTCGTAAGTGAGATCACTTAAAGAGTCAGGATAAGAAGGGTCTCATGAAATAACACCTAACCTACTGCTAAACCTCAGAACAATTTAATTGCATGTTTGTTTGTTAAGTATATATATATATATATATATTTTGTCTTTTGAATTCCACATGACTTAAGCTCTATAAATGAGCTCTATAAATCTGAAAGCGAATAGTGAACATGTTTTCAATTTTTTTGTGAATAACACCCATAGTAACCCAAGTTTTATACACCCATAGTAATATAAAGCACTGAGTCTCTACATATTGGGTTACTCACAGCAGGCAAAGCGAAGAACGAGATGCCCAGCAAAGCAAAACCTGCAGATAGAAGCCGACCGGTCCAAGTCTGTGGCGTCTTATCCCCATATCCAATGGTGGTGAGCGTGATCTGAAGAAAGAATATGGATTAAAAAAAATGTTTAATGTTTAAAAGTCTAGGGTCATATTGCTAAACATAAAATTTTGACTTCCCACAAGCAGACAGCGTTGAAATATATGTCTGGTTGCAGGATGGCAGTGTACTTTTAACACTCCACATTTCGCCTTCACCCATGTATGAGGAGGAGTAGTAACCTCTCACACTCTGATTCTATCTACATAATGACCAAACATAGATCGAATCCTGTCCAGGTTGCATTGGAAAATCAAAGGCCACCAAACAATTCTGTCTGTTATGCCATACTAAACAGCCATAAACACCAAAGCTAAACCAAGCCGTATTCTAAAGTTACGGCCACACAGACGCACGGTATTAGATCCATCTTTCAGCGAGAGAAATACTTTGGTGGCTTGTCATAAAAAAAGATCAGTCTAACATCTCACACTCCTTTCCACACTCATAAGTGAGCGCTTTGGATTTTTGCAGGCAGGGGATACTTAAACAAAGGCCGGGCCAAAGCAAATTCAACACATCCAGTAAAAGTGAGTGATTTGTCAAATGCAAAGAGCACTGCGGCCATTCACAGCACACTGAGGCAAAGAGTAGGAGTGAGGGAGCTCACACACAAAGCCAGACTCCCGTTCTCCTGTTTTCCTCCTCGGAAGCCTGCCTGTCAGCTCCAGACGCTGGCTTGGGATCAACCCAGTGTAAATACTGTGTGGCAGCTTAATATTGGGCCACTGCTGGTTTGTCTCTGCATCTGAGCTCTACAGCAGAAGACTATACCCTCAACTGACCTCACAACTCTTTGAAACAGCTCCATTTGTGCTTGGTACGAGCAGGAAATTACATGCATTGATTTGTTAAGTCAGCTGGTGAGGAACTATGACCTTGCTATGGAACTATGTCTTGCCGTGTGTGTACCACAATTAATTTTTGACATGTTTTAGCTTACCTCAAGGGCATCCAAGATGTAGGTGTCTTTGTTTCCACAGTATTTTCAATTTTGATATTTTTCGGTCAAACCGTTGTTGTCTATCAGTCATACACTGGACTTTAAGGGCTCAGTTGGTTCAGTTGGACATTGCAGAACTGATTCAGATCACTTGGACGCCACTGTGATTACACGAGGTAAAAACGATATAAATACTGTTCGTTTTCTCACAAAAACCACTCGTTTCGTGTCTTAGGCCATCAATATATACTTACATTTACGAGTCATTAACTCTCTGTGCATGCTCTTTGACGTGGACCCCCTATAGCTGCATTATATGACTGGCAGACAACTACGGTTTGACTGAAAAATGTCAAAATTGAAAATACTGTGGAAACAAAGACACCTACATCTTGGATGACCTTGAGGTAAGCTAAAACATATCAAAAATTTATTTCAAAGTGAACTATCCCTTTAAACCCCGTCACAGCCAGTGGTTGTAACTCATATATTGATTAATGCATAAAATACAGTGTGACACTGGCAATGATTTAAATGAACATCCTAAAACCACAATGTGAGGATGGATTCTATATAGATAGTATATAGATATGAAAAAGGCGGGAAATGTGCACAAATACTGTTGAGGAAGAGTTGACATTAAAGGATGACATTAAGGCATTAAAGGTAGACTTACCGTACCCCACCAAAGAGCATCGGCGTAGGTGGCAAACTGTTTGTTAAATTCTTTCTCCACCAAGTAGACCAAGAATGAAGAAAAGATCAGCACCAAGAAGCCAATGTACCAGGCGGTCACAAGTTCCTGGGACAAATATCACAAAATTAAACATCCAACAAATAGAGACATATCTACACACACATGAATATTTCCTGCAGAGACATAATTATTAACCTTCAATTCAGTTAGTTTTTAAACATTTCTGGTTTTAAAGAGGTTGGGATCTGTTCAACCTGAAATATCAGCTAAATCAACTGAGCATCGGAATGGGAGACCAGTTTAAACACGATGTGTTATACAATAATTTTAAACTTTTAACCATTTTTATATTTCTAGTTTTAAGAGGCCCAGGAGGACCAGTTTAATCCAGGCTGAATTAGCAAAGACAAGCAAACCAGGTTGGTTTAAGCTTTTTTTTTGTTTTGTTTTTTGGGTTTGATCAGAGATGTCAGGAAAATGTAAACGCTTAAGCCTGAGAGGAGATAGAAATAAGTAACTCTGCTATTATATCGACCATAATGATTCATTGCGGGGACCCCTAATCTCTCCACTAAATGGTGGGTAACTGAGGACTGAGGAAGCTTGTGGTTTGGCTGCAACCTGTGGATGGAGTTTCAGCCCAAGCTGTGCTGGAAAGAAAGGTTGATTGTGGGGTCACATGTCTGCCTCGACATGAAAACTCACACGCAATGTCATGACCTGAGCTCATTTACAAATTTTTGGCATCAAATGATATTCAGGATACCTTGCTGTGAGCGTAGACTACAGATCCGAGCAGTTTCCAGGTACCGCCTCGCCTGTCCATACGCACCATGCGCAGGATCTGCAAAAAACGCAGACTGCGTAGTGCAGACGTGGCAAAAATATTGCCCTGGCTACCAGCTGAAACCACTGCAATGGATGCAATGAGTACAATAATGTCTGAAAAACAAAAAAAGAGAGAGAAAAAAAGATTCAGTGATAATTTGTACAATAATGTACCTATAGAACAATATAAATATATTGATAATTGGACTGGGACTAGGACCACCCACCATCCATTTCAAGAGCACTGAAGCCCTTTTACCTATAAACTAAGTGTGCTGTATTTCTCAGTATAGCTCTCAGATATCAGTGACAGAGATATTACAAAAATTAGTCTGTTTCACTTGTCTGTTACATTGTTTTCCCTGAGCCGAACAGAACAGCATATCTAATGCCCAGGGTCAGGGATAATATTGTTCTTTACTCAAATCACCTCCGTGATGTTTTCCTGCTGAATGTTACACTTGAAATAAGATTGTTCTTGTGTCACACATTCTGAAAGTGGCCTCCTAAAAGTCTGTTGTTTGAAATTTGGATCTCACAATGCTTGAAGGTTGCTATATGGTGAAAATTGAACCTTAAGGAACACAAAGAGATGGGAATGAAAGCAGCTGATTAGGGTCATTGTGAACAATTCTAAAATATAGAAATCGAAAAATCATAACCAATACGAAAATCATAGTCATCTGAATCAGGCTTGAATTGGTTTGAAATTGACGCCATCCTTAATATTTACACCTGAACAAATGAAACTCAGGGTTATGCTAAGGGGCATGACATTTCTCAAACATGCGTTAAGAACGCATTTCGAGTTTCATAAGCAGGGGCATAATCGAAAAAAGGAACTAGACGGTGCGTTTGAGTCAGACTGGTGAGAGAGGTGCTGTAGTAATGTAAAATATGTGAAAAATAATGTGTTTTTGTAATAATCAAGCATGAAAGCATATTCTAGCACACCCCCTAAATAAAAGAAGTTAGGTAAATCAGGTCACTGCCAGAATGTTTCTCAATTAATAAGTTCAATTTATTTATTTTTTAATCACTGAAATGTTGTAATAGTTGCCATGAAAAAGTTCTGCATGAAGTTGAAGATGAATATGTTTAGAACAAACAGAGGATGTGGTTAATTATCACATAAAGTCAGTGAGCTTCAGTAAGGGTCTGTTGGTGATGTATGCAAAAAAAAATTAACACACTTTCTAATGAGACATGCTGAATAAATGTGTTAGGCAGAGAGGGGAAATTGTTTCCTTTTTCTTTCTATTCCATAATTCAGAATTAGCTGATGGGGTTCTGATGGGACTATGTCTCTTAATGAATGGAAATGAGGTTCAGTGTGTGCCACACAACTCTGATATATTCTCACAGGAGCCTAAATTACCCTCATACAACACAATACCACATATACCCCGCTAGTCTAATAAATATTACATATATAAATAGCACTGTTTACTTATTGCCTGTAATCCTTCATTGGTAGTTATTGCCTGTTTTCGTTTAAGAGGGAATTAAAAAAGAACTCTTTCAGTCATCATTATGTATGTTTGAGCCAGTCATCGATTCTGGGCAGAGGTGTTATCATTAGCCTATCGAGTATCTGTCAACATCCACACCCATACAGAACATCCATCACCCTCTACAAACACACATACACGGGTGGAGAGCACACTCACAGAACACGTTTTTTCATCTTACCAATGACACAGAATGGTTTTCTAGCAAAGCGCAGTCGTCCTTGCCATCCCCTGTAACGACAGCAGCATCCAGCCGACCAGATGCGAATGATGTACTCCAGACCGAATACAACAATCATCACAAACTCCTGCAAATCAGAAAAAGACCTTTCATGACATCCTGAAACCACTTAATGGATACAATATGGCAATGAATTAAAACTATCTCACAAAAAAATAAGTACAGAATATGCTTATTGTATACTGTTTATGATAAACCTACACATCCCTGAACACTTTCTGCATTTTTACATTTTCAAAAAACATCACTATGATATATAAGCTCTTTTTTTCATGGGGATCAAAAATATCCCCACGAGGACAAGGATTTCGGATTTTGCTGGGGACATTTTGTCCCTAACGTAGGCGTTACCACGAGCATATACAACCTGGTTCACCACAGGAGTCTAGATACTGTAACATAATTAAACTCTCAGCTAATCCATCATTGACACACTCCTGGTGCCTGCTAATTGCACTGTTAGATAAACCCCAGTTGAGTTCACAGAGGGTTTCACCTGATTAAAACATCTGTCTGCAAAGAGTTTATAACACCACACCTCTCATAGAGAAACACCATGCACTTACGTTACACTGCTCACGGATGCTAAATGCGCTTACAATCGGGTGAAAAGTGGAAATTTACAAGGTTTTGATCTTTTGAAGCCTTTTTTAGTGTCTGATTTGTTTTTAAATATTTTTTAATAAATATAATATGTTTTTTCTTTTTAAATATCTAAAGGGGTTGACTAATGCTACCCTTAAAAAATATGTATACTGTTTTCAGTATTTTCTTACTGTAGTCCATTACTGAATACAAATGACATGATTCAAATTGTAGTTAGAAACACAATTTCACAGGAAATATAACATTGATTTAAATAGTATAATCTTGAAAAAGAAAAAAAATCCCTTTTCCATGAAATTTTTGTTATCAACAACATGAAGTGCACAAAACATTACAATTCTTCTTCTTACTTTCAAAGCACTGAATAACCTTGCCCCTTCATATTTATTGCACCTTCTTCATATCTATACTCCCTCTCGGACTTTAAAATCGTCTTCTTCACTCACTCTTGTTCTCCCTAAAACCCAATACTTGTATCCAAGTATTAAATAAAATAATAATATACATAAATAATAATAATAATAATAATATATATACATATATATATATGCAGTGGCCAATCTGTGTATGCAATTCCACGTTTGATAAAAGGAAAAATTTAAAAGATCCAAATTTTAGAATTTAGATTTGGGGTTAGTGGTTCATTATATAGGCCTATAATTTTAAGATCCAAAAGAGAAAACCAAATAAAACTAGGTGTAAAGAATCTTCTCAGATGGATCTGAAGGACGTTGCTATTTTATAAACTAAGAGAGCAAATTTTCTTTTGTTTTAGTTCTTCTCAAGAATCAGTGTTGGAAATACATCTCAATTATTCCTGATATTTATGTCTAAATATCAAGTACTCTTTGTAGCTGTTAATGGACAAATGATCCTTTTCACAGGTCAAATTTCACGTTTGCCCCATCTAAGGCGCAAGAGGCCTGGGATAGGCTTTAAACTGTCCTGTCCTAATCCACTGTGACAGCCGGGCTGAGCTTCCCACGGCTTGACACAACACTGTTTGCTTATCCTGAGTACTATCTGATACGGAGGCTGTGTAGGTCTTGCTTTCCCACCAGTGGGGTACACGCCATCCTCTCCTGCTTTAGGTCAGCTCAGAGTCTGTGAATGTCTCTCAATACAGACTCTTTAACTGAAACAGGAACACCTTGGCCCAACTCCACTAAGAGCCCAATGGGACGGAGGTGCTCAATCACTAAAAGTCCCATGCTGCTTTCTGTTGTCACCTGAGAGTATCCCATCAGCCAGCAAAACATCTCAGTGAAAGGACGAAACTAATCCGAGTGATCGTCTTTTAAGGTGAGGTACTGAAAAAAGTTTTTAAAGGGATCTTGGAAGACCATATTAGAGCAACATTGACATTTGACACCTTGTTTTGAGAGTAGTGATTCCAACACTGTAGTTTTCCTCTGTAAAGTTATCATTATAGTTGTAGTAAGTGGACTCCCCTATTCTCAAAGAATTAGAACGATTATATATACTGTGTGTGTACTGTGTGTGTGTGTTATATATATGTCTATAATATATATATATATATATATATAAAAAACAGTAATAGTGTGAAATATTATAACAAATTTCTACAAATATAAACAAAGAAACTGCTTTCTATTTTAATATATTTTAAAATGTGTTTTTTTTTCTTTTTTCTGACAAAGCCATTAAAATTGAGCAGACATTATGTTTGATGCTCAAGAAACTGTTCTTATTATTAATGTTGAAAACTGCTGAATGTTGAAATTTAAATTAAAGTTCAAATGAACAGCTTTTATTTCAAATTAAAATATTTTGAAACAATGTAAAAGTCTTTACTATCATTCCCGACCAATTGAATATGTCCCGGCGGAATCAAAGTATTCATTTCACATTTAATCATGTTTTACTCTGAAATACATCATTACAGAAATAAATGGGTAAACAGCGATTCATGTTGAGTGTTTTAGGTGTTACTTTGGCTGTGCATACAGTACAGTAGGCTTGTGTGCATCTCACCAGTATAAGGAGACAGTGATTGGAGAGGTCCATATGAACAGGGATGGTGGAGAACACAGAGAGAACCAGACAGCCAAACACCAAAGTGAACCTGCCAGTGAACAAAACAGGAAAAACATTAGTAATTGTATCCTGTTCTGTGTGACTTCACCTGAGCAACTGCGAGCTGAAACTAAAGGTTTCATTGTTCTGGAGTGAAAGCAACCTTAACAAATCCCCAATATGGACCCATTAGAGAACATTACAGAATCTGAGAGCATTCAGAGTGGCATTAGATCGCAAACAAATCCGGTGGTGCTTTTTCTATAGACCTGAATGACATTGAGCACATACAAATCATCACTTTCAGCAACACTGAAGGTGGAGAGTGTTGCTTGAATGTGTCTTATATAACTTGTACGCCATATCGCACACCCTCTGGCCCTCTGCTATTGTACCCTGGTCGCATTGTTACATAGGTATTAACACGTTATTTTCAAAGATAGAAAACATACTTTTTGGATAAATCCTGAAATGTAAATTATATGGACGTATCTGCAACGTTTAAACATCATAACTATTTTACAGCAACAAAACGTTAACTATTTACGTAATCCATTTCATAAAGAATATAATGTATAACTTCCCTTTGACCATTTTATAGATCCCTTAACCCTAGCCTCTCTATCTGCCCTGTTTCCCCTCTCGCTCTGTTGTTCGCACCCTGTATAAACAGGCTATTAAGAACATTGGCCTGAGGTGTTTGAGAACAGAGATGGGCTCTTCATCTTCAGAAGCAGATGCAGCTGTGCGAGACGTGCAGCCGTATTGCAGTTATATGCTGTCTGAGTGAACTAGCAGACATCACCATGTCTTCCAGCGAATGCTGTTCTTATGTGTCCTGTAAATACATTGTGTCTGGGAGCCTTTTTTTTACACATCCAACACTGTCTTCTGTATTTCACTTTTCATCCCCACCTTCCTCTTTTTTGAAAGGGACCATAATCTATAAGTTTGTAAATTATTATTTCTTGGTGCTGCATAACACAATTGTAGATTTAAAAGTTTCAACGTAGAGCCTTTTGCTATATTTGCTCTCTATTCATTGTCTTTCGATAAATAACATTTTATATAGTGCAACATACTCCAGTAAGCCTGCATGCAGGACGGGCACCAGCGAAGCACTGAAGAAAGGGGCTTCTGGAGCAACTAAAGGAGTGATGATGTAACACAAACTATCAGCTAGAAAAGACATATGTGGCCCATTTACGTATTTGTCAGACCGTAAACAAACCTGTCTCGCTACAAAAACTATGAAACTAAAAGCCACTGAACAAATACAGATGGCAGATCATTGAATAATAATAGTACATAAAACAAATATTTAAAATATAAACAAATAATTAACAAATATTTAATAAACAAATTTAATAAACAAATATTTTCAATATTTAAACCTTTTTTTAAAAAGGTTAAAGGCTCATAATTTTACTTGTTATGCATTAAAGCAACACTTTCAGGCTTGTGTTTGGTCTTACTGTAAGTTATTTGGCTTATATTTACAAAATGAACAATAATATAAGAATAATCAAACCAGGATATATCAAAATAAAACGTATTAGTACACTGATACATTTTATACAGATTCATTCCAGTTATTGCATTCAACACATTATAACAATTAATAAAAAAACACAATTTTAAAGCATTGCAAGGTACAAAGGAATAACACAACAAAGTGAAATCATTGTATATAACCAGCTTTGCTTGATCCTACATTACACAAAGCCTGCAATCATTCAGTCAGGGACGACAGCACAAAATGTGCAACCTGTAATAAAAACATTATGAATTGTTACGAAACGATAAACAATTGTAGTTTAGGCATAAGTTTAACCTGAAAGGCCTGAACTGAGCATCATACTCTCTCAAAATCAGAGGTAAATTTTAACTTTGAGACTTAATTACACTTGAGACATAAAAAAATAGTATAATATAACTATTAGGATAGTCTTAATATAACTATTAGGATAGTGATCATTGTATGATATCAGTGTTTAGATGAAAGTCATTTAAAATATACCTAAAGTATGCAATAGTTCCAGCACAATATACGCAAGTACAGTACATCTTTAGTTGAACCTCCAGATAACTAAAGTGCATTAAGTACAAAATTAGTTGTTCTAATTTAGCAGACAGTATATCAATTTACAGTAGCATACCCAAAATAAAATTGCATGGTATTTATAGATGTAAATGTATTTTTAGCGCACTTAGCATTTCAAATACATTGTGTTTTTCACTAGGGATAAAAGAGAGTTTGAGAGGTGTTTATTCGCAATCTGTGTCTCTGACTGAGATCAATAACAAACAAGTTGTGGCATTTGTCTGTAACTGTGTTAACAGCTGTTATCAAAGTCCTGCTGACAGCACTGACCTGTTCTTCTGTCTTTCTTTCTCTTTTTGTCTGTGAGACAGTCTGTCTGACCTACTCCTCACCCTTTTAGTGTTTGGCTAACGCATGCACACCCACACAGGGCAGACTTTTTCAGTTAGTGTGAGGGCGTCTGTGAATCTCATAATACTTCATAGTATTACAATCCCCAAAGACTGAATCGTGACAGAGTTTATGAGTCATTGCAGGATAGCGCTTTCCATCTCCTGGTGGTACAGCAAACCACAACTATTACACTCAAACTGGTGTGGTACTCAACTAGAACATGTTTATAGCATTTAAACATGCATAATGGACAAATGTACACACACACACACACACACACATAAGCTTCAAAAAGGGCTTCTGCTACAGTCATTACTATAATCCAATAAACATGCGAAACAGTAGCAGCAACACAAAAAGTCAGCTTGAAAAGTATGAGACCAATAGTGTTACGCATTTATTTTCATATTCATAAAAAATTTCCACCATAATAAATTGAGTAAAAAGTTGAATAGAAAAATTGACATAATTTAAAATATTTCTTAATATTTAGTTTGTTTTAACAACAGCAACACTCAAGCTCCATTGACTCCACAAGTTTGTGTATCATGTGATCCAGCATGATTTGAGAGCATTTAATGGAAGCAAGACAATGTGTTAACATAAATAAAAATGTTCAATCTCAGAAATCCCAGACTTTTTCCACTATACGTGCACCCAGACACATCTTTCAGAGCTATTTGAAGGATCTCTCGCACTCAGATGTGGGGGGAAATGAAAATATTACACCAGGAAGGAATGACTTTTTTGAACAAACAGCTGCAGGTACCAGAGCTCTGCTAAACGCTTAGGCCAGACAATGCGTCTTTCAGCATTCATAGCCGTGTGGTCACAGCGCCAGGCTCCCACAGACTCCGACATCTGAGCTTTCAAACCTCTGAACCCCAGAGACTTTCTTCCATCGGCAAGACAAAACACAGCACCACCTACTAAATTTGCGGTCTCTGCGTGTAAATGCGCATGAGAGTGTCTGTATGCAAATGTCAGCTTGCAGTTCTGTCTTAGTGCTGTTTTACAATGCAAATAATACAGAAATAATACAGACGGAAATTGTACAGTAGCATCTAATGGGCTGCACACCTGTTTCTGTTTGCCCATGTGTATGAGACTGTCTGAGGTTGTGTTGTTTTTGAAGCAGGTTCTGAGGGATTTGAGGAGCATTCAGGCAGACAATGATGACATGCTCAGAATTGAAATTTCAATTGTTTCCCCATGAGTCTGGCCACCTGCAGTGTGTACCGTCTGACCAAACATGACATGGTAGAGGGCGTTGTTGCGGTCTACCACACCAAACACACAAAATCAGCTTAAAACCTTTAATGAATCTGTTTATGAAAGCACACAGGAAGAACAAGTAGAGGAGATGACATGAGGTAAGACAAGAAAAGATGAATAAATTCAGGAAAAAAAGAGAATAGAGATGAGATCAGGTGAGATGGGATGAGATGAGCAGAAACTACATTTTGCGGGAAGTGAGAAGAGACAAGAAAAGAGAATTTTAGGATGTTGCTGTGTTTCAGACAGTTGGCTGGTGTAGAGGTCAGTCTTTTGTGTTCCTGACAAGATGAAAGTGATAATTCATTTTACATTGGAATAATATAAAATATAACATCTGTAATCCAGCGTTCACAACACAATACAGACTAAATTATAATGGCTGTTCTCTGAATTATTGAATGACTTGTACAAATAGCCTGTGGACATCTGGCTTTGATTTGGCTCGAGTCTCTAATGGTTCTCCTCCGTCTGAACAGGAAGGTCTGGACACTGGCTGCTGTTTCCACTGCAGCTGGAACAGACTGTTGAACACAACTCAGACCTCTGACCAGAGCTTCACACAGGCCTAGGGTTAATGACAGCCATAACACTCAATCAGGAGGTGGGTTTTACTATGTCACAGCCCTGACATAATAAAAGCCACAAGTTATATTGATCTGAATGTTAGAATTTGTCTCAAAGCATTAAAGGAATAGTTCACTTTAAAAAAAAACAAAAAAACTTTTGCTGATAATTTACTCACCCCCGTGTCATCCAAGATGTCCATGTCTTTTTTTCTTCAGTCGAAAAGAAATTAAGGTTTTTGAAGAAAACATTCCAGGATTTTTCTCCATATAATGGAGTTCAATGGGAACCAAACAGTTCAAGGTCCAAAAGACAGTTTCAGTGCAAAGTGCAAACTGTTCAAAGGGCTTTAAACGATTTCAGACGATGAATAAGGGAAACAATCGCTCATTTATGAAAAAAGTTTAAGGTTTATAAGCTCAATATAATAAGCTTATATAATAAGTTTTATAAGCGACCAGCCTTGCTCTGTTCTGTGATGCGCGTTCGTGACTCTCCTGTTCAAACTGGTTAATCAAAATGAACAAATCTTTTCCCGAGTCAACTCGTTGATTTCGTTCGTTGAATGAACCAAATGACACGAAAAAAAGATTTGTTCATTTTGATAAACGAGTTTTAACAGGAGAGTCACGAACAGTACAGGTCAAGGCGACCATTTGAGCTTATAAAACTTAAACTTGTTTTTTTTTTTTTTTAATGAGCGATCGTTTCGCTTGATAAGACCCTTATTCATCATCTGAAATTGTTTAAAGCCCTTTGAACAG